AGCTGGAGAGATCATCGACTCAGTAATGTTATGTGCCAACTAAAAGCATCTGATCAACAAAATACTTTGCTTTCATATACTTTCAAATAACAGTTGGACTGTAACTGGACAGTCTAATTTATATCCATGACTATAAGTCTATTATTTCCTACTGGCCACAAACCTTTTCAGGCCTACAGCTGACTAACTGGGACCATCTGAATAAACCAATTACTTCTGACCCTACGTATTTTATCATATCTCAATGTCAGAGCTCATTGCTGATAATAAGACTTTAGCAACATTAGAAAAATTCAGAACTACAATTTATCATCAGTAATAGAAATGGTAAAAATTAAAATAGGGGAAATGCAATTTTGTCCTTTGGAAATTAACATGATAGTTAAGAAATTATAACATGAAAGTGTTCCCACAAATTCATCTAGCAGTCATAATTTATACCTTGAAATGGTAGGTTGGCAAATGAACATTAAAACTGAGCAGAATTGACAGATGTATGCCAGGTATGATAGATGTATGTCTAGTAAATTGAATTCTGCAGGGATGCTTTTACAAAGTGCAAGAAAAGCTGGCTGCTCTGGCTGAGTATTCTAAACAACAAACTATGACTTGATTTATAACCCCATAAATTCAATAGAATACAAGCTTGTCCTCATTACGTAACGTGCACCAGCTGTTGACTCAACAGGATGTTTAAATGGATTTTCCATTTGGTATTTTTGGATGTCTTTCTTCAGAACTTTAATATTTTGGAAGGCTGCAAAAAAAGTTCTGAAAGAGTCACAGTATGACTTGTATGACAAAGATTTGCTGATGTGATGACATAAGATTTTCTGAAATGCTAGCCAAAATTTATGAGTAATTCTTCAAATTTATGAATTCATTTTGAATAATTTACAAATTTATGAATAATTCTGCAACTTTTCCAACACTATTGAGACTTCTCTTTACAAACACTGTCTTAACCACTCTGTTCAAATAACTAATGGACAGACCAATTGTAAAATATGCATAAAGTGTGACCAATTGAAACAAGATAGAATGGAAGTGCTTTTTAAGTAGCTATCATGAACAAAATAGAAATGTATGTTTGAATTTTAGAAGTAAGGCTTACCTGTTAATCCGAGTGTCATTAGACCATTAACTAGGAGGAAAGAGAGATAGAGATTGGTTAGATATCTTCACTTTATTCCATAATAATTAAAATTACTGCAGATACCAGCAAACCTGAGCAAACTTCATGTTTCAATAAACCACCTCTTTTGAACATTAGTTTCATTTTTAGTAGAACGTGTTTGAATTGAAAAATGAGCATTTAGAGAAAATGCTTCTTTTAAAATTTCCTTTTATCTATCTTTTAAACAGATGAGTCATGTAGAATTTTATGGGTCTGTCAACATCCCTTTTTTTCCTGTAGTTTCAAAAGTTAAGGAACAGGGATAAAAGAATTTTTACTTCAGTTCGAGAAGTAAACACATCCACATGAACTATAGCTCAATTACACACTCTAAAGTTCAAAATAAATCATTTGCTATTGAAATTGGGCAAGCACAAAATCAAAAATAATGTGTGCTCTATTCATCGGAAATATAATGCTGTGTTTTATGTCCTCCATCTTTTCCAGAGTGAATTTATAGATTTTGAAAACCATAAGCTCAAAACTCTTAGGTGCCTGATATGGAAGTTGTATTAGTCTCCTAATGGAAACGTTTCCACATCAACAGAAGGAGTCTTCTGATCAGAAATTTGCAGTCCCTCCAGATGGAGGAAATTAGCACTTGCTCCCCTGTGCAAGTGGAGCTGCAGCCGCACTTAGCATTTTGCAAACATAGCTAGGAAGGATGTGACTTCAGTTATTTTTTAACCTTCTACTGAAAAAAAAAACAAACAAAAAAAAACAAAAAAACAACAACAAAAATTGACAGCAAATCTTTGCAGTGTTAACATTGTATCAGAAACGAGGAATTTCACGCAGATGGGTACCTCGTGCTCCTTGTTTACACCCCATGTGTCACTCCAATAAAATAAGCCAAAATATATGGAACAAAGTATCAATCTCAATTTCGGTGAAGGCAGGATTTACATCAGTGTAATATGCCAAACTACTGATTGAGTTAAATGCAAACTGTTGTGTACACACATCTGTGAAGAGTTTATATCCCCCTAAGAATATATTTTCATTCTAGTCAAGCACTAATCTCTGTGTTATTTGCTAATGAACTTGAATAATGTACTGAAATTATGAAGAGCAGGAATATGTGTATCAAAATATTTTATTGCATCCAAACAAAAAGCTAAAATTCCATTATACACTCTCTTGTAAATAAAGCAACTCTTTTTCTTCAAAACTATTAGCTATTATACATATAAATACCCTTGAGTCTCCATATATATATATTTTTTAATCTGCACTTGAAAATGGGCTTCATTAATTCCACAAAACTGAAGGTGGGATTAAAAGTACGTATTCCATGAAAATGTTCCAAGGAAAGTTTCAATGCCCAGCTATAGATGCTCTGTTGACGACTGCAGATTGCAACTGAAATTCTTATTGTATGAATTCCTGCTACTGATCTCTAAATACTTTGTAGCTATTTCTGTGCTATTCCTCACAAGACCACTTAGAGGTAAATCAAAACATGATTTACGATGGCAGAGACCCAATATGAGAAAATAGAGTACCCATATTTTACAAGAGAGAGTTGAAGTTACTCCTCCAGTGTCACAAAAGGGAGCTACGAACAGCCAACACAGAATAAATGGCTCTTGATTCTCAGATCTGTGTTCTTTAGGTAAACCCCTTTAGGCAAAGGAAAGCATGTTCTTTGCATTTTCTGCTCTGGCCAAAATAGAGTAACACGGGATGTTTCCTACCTATCCGCAACCAAAAGAGTGCAGATATATTCAGATAAGGATAAAGTAACAATACAGGCCATCCATATCACACTCACCCCTCACTATTTGCAGTGGTCTCAGATAGCTCAAAAAAAGATTGCTAAAAATAAACGATTTTTGATCATGGCAGTTTACACAAAAAATAGGCCTTTCAGTGGGTTCTTTTGAGAGGGGGCAAGTCCTGTGTATTTCCAGTGCATTGAAATGTTTACAGCATCACATCTCATTACAGGAAGCATATGAATGTGAAGCAAAGAGCAGTCACTGCCATTGGAAGATGTTGCCCTGATCCGATAATAAGCAACTTCCAAGCTACATTTCCATGCATTTGCACCTGAATCAATATTTGAGGGTAAAAAGGAGGGTAGTTTGACAATTGCTTGCAGGTTTAGGCATCTTAATACCAGATCACAGCAACTGCCTTCAACTTTTATTTATTTAACATACTGTAGTAGCAGGCATGACTGCCCCTAGCATCAGTACAATCAGATACTAAAGGATCAGTCAATTTAAAACTGGAGCAACTGGTACAATGACAGTGACTGCAAGAAGGGGAAATATACGTTTGCAAAGGTATTGTAAATGAAAATAAAAGATAAACAAAAGAGTAAAAAATAACAACAGAAAATATGAAAAACAAGAAACAAATCAAGCTTTTTATTAGCTTGTTTCATCCACAAGTCTCATGCATGAAAAAGGAAAATATGATCCAGATATTTACTGCAGCCTTTCACTGCCTAGCCTGTATTCTCCTTTGGTGATCAGAAACCCTCATTACTCACATTTCCTTTGTAAGTCTTAGATACTGAACAATTCGATCTTACAGAACAGTATCTGTATTTCTCTAGGTATTTAAGTGCTGCATAGATAAATCTACTACTTGCATAGATGGCATTAAAGACTGTTAAATTCACCAATCTTCCACCATTTTTCTTTATGTTTATTGTCTGTGTTACTGTTGCATTTCTGAGGTGAATAGGGATTTGGAAGTGTGAAGCTATATATTTCCCGACAAAGTTACCATACAACTTCCTCAAGGACCTTAGGAAGCTGACTTGTCCTCCCCCTGACACTCACTGTGTTTCGGATGCTTTTACTCTCGCCATGTTTTTAGGCCCACTTCATACCACTGCAAACTTTAGCTCTGGGTTATTTTTTAAAAATTGCTTCTCTGAGACCAGTTCTTATTTCAACTAATTACACCAGGATACTAACCCCTCAACAGAGATAACAAAAGGATAATTTAGCATAAAGTTGCTAAGTAGATGGGCAAGGTCTCAATTTCAAGCAAGAAGAAAAACTGTAATGCACTCAGGAAAGCAAAAATCAGCGACAATGGTCCCATCTCATGGAAGTTGTCACGGGCAGAACCTAGAGAGAGCTCATCCGGCTGGGAGGCTTGTGGGGCTCCTCACACCAGGGAGGAGCACAAGAGGGCTGCGCTGCCTGGGAGGCTGAACCAGGAGCACAGCACCCTCTTTCCTGTCCAGGGGTTGCTGTAAAAGTGCAGAATGGAAAAATACCATTATTGGTACAAACTCTCGACTCCCACTTGGCCCTGGCCACAACGTGCATGGCTTGGGAGGTCATCCCTCCTTCTCACTTGCCTTCGCGGTGCGAGCAGCCTGGCTGGGCGGGAAGGCAGTCGCGACTGTGCCGCAGTGGGAAAGCAGCGTAGGAAATGAGGCAACCAAAGTTCACAGGAGAGGAATCTGCCCCAAAGGAAGGATGCAGGGAATAAACAGAAGCTGGCAATAAATATAGCGCTCAAAAGAAATACTACACCTGCATTCAAAGCTGGCCCAGAAAAAATATGCTTACATCAGAAGGTCAACAGGCAGAAGCAAGGCGGACTTGGAGGCAGGGAGGGAGGACCTCTTGTTGCCTCAGTGAGGCACAACATCAGCCTAGCTCCACGGAGCTCCTGCTCCATGTCAGAACTGGGCTACAGGGCAGTCTGAGTTGGGAAACACCAACGAGCCAAGCAGGGGGACATTGGTACGCAACGCGGCACATGTGAAGTTAGTTTTGCTACAGTGAGCTCTAAGGGAAAGTTCATGAATTTTCTCAGTGTGGACGATGATAATGCTGGTAAAGCAGAAATAGCCTTTAAAAAAAAATCAGAGTTAACAGTTACAGAGTCTCTGTAACAAAGAGTCAGAAGAGATGCAGATGACTGACACTGCTGTTTGGGGCTAGGGAACAACCTTGAAATGGGAAGAGGATTCCCTATGTCCAAGAAGCTTTTTAGAGATCTAGGGTAACACAAAGGCCTCTTTGAACTTATCCTCTGCTTTGAGGCTGAATCCTTTTTTAATATTTTTTCATTTTTTCCTGTATCCAATATATGGAAGATCAATAGATATATTAGCCAAGGAAATTTAATACTCTAAAACTGGAGTTCAGTACTGTAATGTATTTTTAAGTATTTTTAAGTACTATGCTATTGCTTTTGAACTGGTAAGGTAATTTAAGGTGGTTAACAACTCTGGGTATTAGAGACCTCTTCCTGCAGAGCAAGAAAAGCATGAAAAGGAAGCAATTTCAGCTTTTATTTTTTTAAATTCCATCAGTACAAATCAACAGGTAACATTACTGAAGGCATTGACTTCAGTGTCGTGTTGGTCCAGAATTCTTCAACTCTCCAGCAACTGTGAAGAAGCTGCCAATTTTTCTCAAGTCAGACTTCCACTGTGAATCTTTCAGCAGAAATACAAATCACCATCCTTCACATTCATTTGTAAAGTGCTTAAATCACTATTGGTGGCATATAAATAGGATTTGATAATTTTTGAACACCTTATGTCTAACTCCAGAATTGCTGGATAAGATTTCTACTACTTTACTTTAAACCAATATGTTTTAATTTGTCCTACTGATTAAATCACAGACTTAGGCAGTTATTTAGCAACTGACTGATCCTTTGGATCAGTATTATAATGGAAGTCCTGTGGCTCAATCTGAAATATCAAACAGTATTTTCTTCACAGCGGTGTATAACTGAAATATAACATTTCTTACAAACACTGACTTTCAGACAGTGGATAAAGTAAATGCGTTACAACAGAATCCATTGCCTGAAGTAAACTCTCTTCACGCTCGTTAAGACTGGCGCAGACAAATAGGTTCCTTGCTGGAAAGCCAGTTAAGATCCTTCCATAGACAAGAACTGAAGAAGAAAACAACATTTGTTTCAAGAGTAGAGAGGAAAGCCACAGCATTAGAAACTTTAAAGATGACTCTCAAGAATAACAGAG